CGCTCAAAATTTTCCATGTATTTTTATATGGGAAAAATAATTGTTTTCGTAAAAATGGTATAGAATTCTTGAAAGTCAATTTTTCGATCGGAAAACTCTGGTGCTGTTCAGGAGACTTTCAGTAATAATATCTGATTATTTATTTAACCATTTTTTAATGCTAGCGATTTTTTATTGGTCGCCCTATTGCATTTTTCGGTGTTTTCGTGGGGTTTTGGCGAACCTATAAATTATAGTTGCAATGAAAAAACTTATATTTTTTGCGGTACAGAACAATCCTAGGGGGTGAGAGCATAAAAATTCCGACTTTACTTTTTCACATGCATTTTTGGACCACCCTAATGTACATACGTATACCATCACAACTTGAACTAAAATATATGTTTATATTTCATTCATTTTCAGGTATCGCAACGGTGATTTAGTCAATGTCAACGACACAGAACGTTATGAGGGGGGCAATTCTGAGAACGTTGCACTGGTTATACGCTCTACTGACAAGGAAGATGTCGGCAACTACACCTGTCAACTATCAAATGCCATTGGCAAGGGCATCTCTGAGCAGCAAATTGACCTGGATGTGCAGTGTAAGTACTGAAATGCGACGTTGTACACTCAGAAAAGACATTCGTTAATGCTAGGAAAAAAGTATATTATTCTAAGGAAATACATGGCTTCCGTAATATGAGTAAACGATTTGGCTCAGTTTAAGGAAAACACAGTTAATTATTTTTCAGTACTATTTTCTCTCTACTTAGGAAAAATTAACTTGCCGTGAAAGGAGTAAGTATGTAATTTTCCTCGCGGCGCTGAAACAGTCGCAATGGCCGACAGAGCAAAGCTCTGGAGTGCTAGTCGAGAGATGCAAGGTTCGAGTCCCAGAGCAGGATTTTTTTTTTATATATTTTATTATTTTTTTATTGTAATTCTTTGAATTGTATTAAAAAAAATATCTCATTTATTTTTAATGGTATTTGTTTATTTAGGTTTTTGCATATGAAATAAATTTTAAAATTTGTAATTTATATTTGAATTGAAATAATTGACTTACCTTGCTCTAACTACCTCAAACCGGACTCGAACCTGCGATATCAGAACCAGAAGCAGTAGTCTTCACGCGACGCCACGTATGCCAGGAAAGCAATAAACTTCGTCTTAACAGCACTGAACAAATTATTACTTATATGGAACAAACTAATTACGCACTATTTTTGGCATGAACCTGAATTGAGTAGTCCACTTGCAAAGTGCGCTATGTAAAATTTGTTCGATTAGTAGTTTTTAATGGGTAACGTACCAGTATTTAAAATAGTTTCTTGTCCACTAACAACCCAGTGGAAAATCTTTCTATATTCAGAAAAAATATCATCAAATGTTAACTATTTACTCTTGCAATATTTACTCTTGTCTTTAGTCGTGTACGTGTGCTTATAAATCGGCGATCTGTCTGTTTTTGGCACAGAATATTGTCTATAAAGGTAGGTATAAAGGAGATAAAGTTCTGTCAAAATATGTCGAGAATTTTGGCATCACAATATGACATAGTGAAAACCAGCCATAACAGCCAAAAAGAATCGAGATAGATATAGGCAAATGTATACATAAATGCTCAGAATGAAAAGATAAATGGATTAAGCCATGGCTGTCCGTCCGTGCGTCTGTCCGTCTGTCCATGTACACGAAAACTCGAACAAAAATTGAGATATGTCAACAAAATTTGGTAATTAGGTTTCTCTTTATACAAGGTGGTTTGGGATTGAAAATGGGCAAAATCGGACAATAATCACGCCCACCTCCCATATAACAGGATTTTCGAAATATGCAAAAACTACGATATTTCCGCAAATACCGGATCAAAATTGCTGAAAGTTGGTATGCGAAGTAGAATTTCGGCGTGCCCCCTCCCACTTATGATACAATTCTATATCTATGTAGTTCCTTTACCAATCCCACCAAACTCGGTGCGAACATTACCGTTTAAAATTTTTGAAATCAGATAAGAACAACGCCCACATCCCATATAACGTTATTTTACAGAAATACGAAAACTGCGATAGATTAATAACTATCTAAGCTAATTTGCTCAAAATCCATATATGCAATGACCTCTTAACAGGAAGTGACACTTAGGGAAGTTTTTGAAAATGAGCGTGACACCGCCCAGTTACGCCTACATATCTGTATCTCGGTAACTGGGTTTTCAATTTCTACCAAACTCGGTACATTTATCACTCTTGGCGCAAAAAAGCAATATGGTGAAAATTTTTGAAATCGGACTAAAATTACTGCCACTTACCATGTAACGGTAAATTTCAGAAACACGAAAACTCCGATTTTTCAATAACTTAAAACGCCACTTACAACAATCACCTAACGAGAAACAAGACACAAGATGATTGATTTTTGTTAAATAGGCATGGCACCACCCACTTATGACTACATAAGTGTATATGGATAACCGCCTTACCGATTTCCATCAAACTTGGTCCAATTATTTTAATAAATCATAGTATATTATCGAACTGTTTGGAAAAATACTCTTGCTTATCATGCAGTTTACTGAAAAGTGAAAAAACGATATCTAACATGTGCGCCGGGTATATAATGTTCGGTTTCTGCCGAACTTATACTTTTTTACTTGTTAATTTATGGCTTACTATTATAAAATCACATAACGCTGTTTGCAAGTGGACTACTCAATTAAAGAAAAACTTCTCAAATTGTGTAAATTTTTCGCAATATTAAGCAAAAAACAATAACTCTCAAATAAAGAAACTGGTTTCTTGTTTTAAGGAAATTCTTTTTTCTGAGTGTATAAACGTATATAACTTGTGTAAAAGTGTGTTTGTATGTACAGGGTGTATGAGTATGTATTTATACCCAGGTGTACTAAGCAATTTTGCTACAACAAATGCTTCTACGCAAATATTCCGCCTTCCATTATGCTCGCCTTATCTATATACATACAAACTTATGTATGTTTGTACATATATCATTGATTCTTGCTTCACTGCCCAAAATGTTTTTGTCACATTTTGTTGTTATTATTATAAGTGTTTCACTGATACTGTTATTACTGTATAAGTGCTATTGTCGTTGTCATTTATTCATGTCCTCTTTGCCATTCAAGTAGTTGTTGCAGATGTCCTTTTGGCAAAACTGCTGGCCCTATACTATTTGTATATATATTTATATACATATGTAAATATATATTTATGTGTATTTGTGTTCATATCATTTCAGTTATGCCAATTGTCGAAGTGCTGATGATACCCGAGGGTCCCGTAAAGGAGAGTGACGAATCGAATGTGACACTTTACTGCAACATCTTAGAAGCTAATCCTGCGGTGCTGACAAAAGTGCGTTGGTATGCCAATGCGACGTTGCTCAAGGAGTTGCCTGATTGTGAAGAGACTAAGGTAAGAAACACTTTAACTGTAGGTATTTGAAGATAAAAGGTATGAGTCAACAACATTAACTCTATGATAACACTACGAAGAGAAATGTTGAATTGAAGATTTTCCAACTTAAATATTAAATAAGAGTGTTTGCTCATTTGTGTCAACTAAAATCTGATAACTGGACAATCATTTTTCAGGAGGATTTATGTCACATTGATCCTAGTAAATTACTGTTAGAAAGTATTGGACGTGGCTTTTTCTATAATTACTCTTGCGAGGGTTATAATGCGGCCGGTTGGGGACCACGAAGTGAAGATAAGGAATTAATGGTAAGTGGAGCGGATTTTTTCAGTGGCGCTGTAATTAGTATGTGCATATCTGTACGTTATATATGTAAATGTATTAGTATATTTCATATATCCTTATTTAGGAGTAAATCGATATAATAGTAAATTTCACCATGCACATGTATTTGATTTTTTAATAGGTACATACTTCCTGCAAAAGAATAAACTTAAACTAATTTGTTCTAGAGATAAATCAGATTTCTTTTAAACTTGGTTAGCTGATTAAGTCAAGTGATATTTTAACTAGTTTTGGCTATTTTTCTTTTATTTATTTAATGTTTATATTTTTTAAAAAGTTAAACACTTTACCTAACCAGCGCCGCATAAATCCACATCTGAAACTTCATACAAAAATTTTAAAAATGCAACAAACTTTGCACCAAAACATTTGCACCAAAAAGCTTTAAACTTTTTAATTTGATTTTTAGAAAAAATGTGTAGCTTATTAAATTTTAATAGGTTAAAATGTAAATTTCAAGATGCTGGAAAATCGTGTTGATTTTTAATAATTTTTTTGGCTGACGGTGTTTTGCATTTTCTTGCATTTAAAATATGCTCGACAATTTCGTTTGTATGGGAGAAAATGTCTAGCACATTTTGTCTTTCATCCAACAAAATATTGGACTAATTGGTCTATTCCATTTCAAAATATTTTCGGCTTTCCAACTACACATTAAGTTTTTATTTTTTTCGGATAAACCATGCGTTCCAGAAATCCTTCATAATTGTTGCACACGATTAAAAAGAATTGGAAATCTATACAAAAATTTAGTAGCGCTTATGTTCTGTAAGACTTACAACAAGAACAATGTAAAAATTTATTAGGAACGGTCTAAAGTCAAATTACAAATTGTGCTTTTTTTCAAGCGTTCGGACGCAAAATATACTTTAAATGTAAAAAAAAGAGTCGTAACGTTTACTTTATGTGTCAAAAATTTAATACAAAAGCTAGTTTTTGTTACTCTTGCCAGTCGCACAAAATGTCTTTCGGAAAGCTATAGGATTATCGATTGTAATTATATTGAAAATCGGAACGTCCGAACGCTTCAAATAACTTTTGTTCATATTGTTCTATGTAGGTACTGTTACTCACAAAATTGAGTATACGTTTTTTTTTGTTAGTATTTTGTTAATTTGGTATTAAAATACGGCTTATATTTTAGCAAACCCCATTTAAATCCGAATATAAATCTGTCTACGAAAATTATGAAAAAACTGCAAAGCAAACTTGTTAACAAGAAGTTCTAAAAAAAAGGTATGTAGTTTTATAGTCCATTCAGTTTTAGTATAATAATGTTCAAATGTTAAATGTCTAAAAATTGGCAATGATTTTTGAGAATTGCTTATGCATTTAAAATTTGCACATTATTATACTAAAACTGAATGGACTATAAAACTGCATATCTGACTTTTGTTTTTTAATTCTTCATAAAAAGTTTGCTTTGCAGATCTTTCATAACTTTCGTAGAAAGATTCATATTTGGATTTAAATGGGGTTTGCTAAAATATAAGCCATATTTTCATACAAAGTAGAATTAAAAAAAATTAGCATGTAAAACATTGAAAATATTAACAAAAAACGCGTATACTCAATTTTGTCTGTAACAGTATATAGATATAGTAATTACTGCCGCCCCCAAATCATACTATGCTAAGTCAGTTTGGAGGCGTCGATATGTACATCTGCTTGTACGAAGAAATGACTTCAACGAATGTGAATAAAAGCCTTCAATAGATGTATTTACAATAAAACACCATATTTGCACTAAAAATCGGAACGTCCAAACGGGAACGTCCGAACAACTTAGAACTAAACATCGTTACGAAGTTTAAGTTGACGCGATGGTTATGACTGCTTATTATTCTAACAACAGCTCATACGTCGTTTTTTTGTAAAATCAACAGATTCGCAGAATTTAGCAAAAGTCATCAGTCATCTACGATACGAGTTCCATTTTGGGAACGTCCGAACGGATAATTGCTATACACTTACGATATAACATTTGTGGAAAATATTTTTATTGATTTGCAGAGAGGTATTGATGATGACTACTCATGATTTGCGTTCATTCAAAGCCTACTATAGTTTTTAAAATGAAAAAAGTGTCTCCAAACGGAGCGTCCATAACGCAGGAAACACCCATATGTATGTTCATTAGGCATAGACTTTTTTTAAATTAAATATACCCACGAGGAGAGTTCCTGTCGGGAAATCCGAGAAACAAAAAAATGTTTACTGAAAAAAACCTACTGCGATCAAAAATTGTTTCCTATTCGGTTGAGTAGCTTTTTCCATTTTATTAAAACAAATCGTGGCATAAAGCTCAATAGCACTGTTAAAGCAAATTTTATTACGCCACAATAATAATAACACACAAGATGTTAATTTTTTTTAAAACAAGATCCACACTGGTCGGAGAAGCCATGTTTTACGAGAACAATTAGAAGGACTGTTAAGATTATAATCAAAATGCAGTATCTTAGTATTTTTAACCGACTTCCAAAAAAGGAGGAGGTTATCAGTTCGTCGGAATATTTATTTATTTTTTATTTTTTATGTATGTTACCGCATAACTTTGGACCACGTCAACCGATTTCGATAATTGCATCGGAAAGGTAGTGTCTCAGAGGTGGTCCCATACTAATCTGGTTAAGATCCGATAAGTGAATCATGAGATATATATATATATATATTTTTTTTTTTTATGAGAGTTGAAGTCGGTTTTTTTTTTGCTAAAAATTACTTGTTGTTATGCTAAATCCGAATGTGACATACAATTTATAGTTTGACAGTTGACAGCTTTCCAATCAACTGAACATTTCTTTAAAAATGAGAAAGTCTTTTTGAAAATACCTGCTAGACGCGAATTTTATGTCAAATTAAAACTTTGACAGTTGATAGCCGTCAAATGGACTGTGAGTTTTCCAAAAATAAGATACGCATTTTAAAAATGCCATTTATTATTTTTTATGTCAAATTAAAACTTTGAGAGTTGACAGCTATCAAATGGATGGCTAATTTTTCTAGAAATAAAATATTTTTTTAAAAGTCTAAAAATAAGAAAATATTTTAGTTAAAAATTTTTTTGAGAGAAATTGAGAGTTGAGAGCTGTCGAAGGGCTGTCAATTTCTCTAGAAATAAGGCTCACTAATCTGGAATTCTATAAACTTTTTTAGTTGACAACTCTCAAATTAACTGTCATTTTCAGTTGAGTAACACAATATATTTGTTTGGCAAAATTGGCTCTCTGATAAACAAAAAATTTTCAGGTAAAAGTGTCACCGTTTTTTAAATATTTACATTTATTGAATTAAAAATCGTGCCTTTTCATGTATTTTCTTTAACGGCAACTACAAACAAGGCTATACTTAGTAAATTTTTTATGCAAAATACTTACAGATAGTTGCTTCTCCATACTCAAATGCAATGTAGTTAAAATATATTAAGGAACCATCATAAAATTAGGACTATTTCTGGATTTTTAACTTTTTGATATTTTCTTCCCCAACTTTGACTATCTCGGGTGAAAAAAATGTACTGAGCTATAACTTTACATTACATAAAAAAATTGCTCATTTAATAAAGATTTCAGAAAGGTGCCACTCTGACTGTTTCGAATAGAAACCAGTGTACGAAAATAAACTATATTATACGTTACTATTTCGTTTCGTTTATTACTTCAACAGTTCGGTACAATACGAAAACAAAATGGCTGAGTTCACTTTGGCGATAGTACACTACAGTAGTTTAGTAGTTACAGACGATACAACAAACGAAATGAATCGTGCAGAGAAAAATATATGTATGTATTTAGTACATGTTTTTTAATTGAATTGGATATGAAAATTTACTGAAAAAATATTTTTCACGTAATTGAAACGTTTGTATACATATAAAACGTACCCTATGGTACAATTGTCACAAACGAAAAGCAAATGTTTCTCGTTGGGGAAAATGACAGTGAATCTTACAATTTGTTTCTGACTATGTACAAAACTGTACAAAAACACAAATGATATGATGATCGATGAGCAAATGGTAATTGTTTTGTACAGTTTATTTTCGTACCCTGATAGAAACAAAAAAGTTATAGCCGCTTTTGTTGGCAAAGGACTGAAACACGCTAGAATGTATTTAATAGATTTAAATGTAAGCTGCTCTTGTTACCGACCAAGGACATCCTAAATAGTACAAAGGTACATTATTACCTGCTCCTGACATTATTTTATGTTACTTACCGGAATTAGTGAAAGTGGATTTTGTGAAATTGGACCCTTCGAACATTCCCAATAAACATTGGGCTTGGTTAAAAATTCGAAAATTATTGGAAAACTTAAATTTTTTTCAAGTCTCACCTTTGATAAGAATGTGGAAAAGGTTAGTATTCGATTCGAGAACTAGGCCATTCTCCAGCAAAACGGAACCTTCGTTAACCAATGAAGTTTTCCTTCGTTATGAATTCGAAATCTAGCCCATTATCGAATTGAAATTTTAATGAGAGAGAGTGATTGCATTATATTTCCATTCGAATAGATTTGTAAATGGAGCATAGTTGGGACCGTCTGCTATATGTTCAGCCCAAACCATTTGACCTAGGCCTCTATAGTATTTTTTTAAGATTTTTTATTTATATGAAATTCGTGATTTCCAAAACTTCAGTTTTCTTCTTTTTAAATAAATTTATTCGGGTTTGAATTTTTGGAAATATCGGAGGGCATATTGGATTTTGCATTTTGAATTTTCGAAATTTCGTGAAAATTCAGTAGTTCCTTAAATTATTGGACGCCATATTGGATACGCTATTTTGGATTTTTGAAAGTTGACTTTAAGTTTGTTAAGGTACATCTTATAAATTATATGATGCTAAATATAGAATAGATTATATTAACCCTTAATGTTTTTACACACTTTATGTTCTCTGAAACAACTGCTAAAGTTCGTGTAGAGAAATAAAACTGAACGCCCCAATAGTAACGAAGAAAGCATCGTTGATTATAAATTAAATATTCGTATTTATAATATCCCTACAATTATTTCTAAGAAAAAATGATCTCAGCCATATGCACTTCATGGAAGTAAAAGTTCATTTTAATGTTGTTCCGTTTTTGGACACTAATTTTGTGTTGTTATTGAATAAAGTTTAATTTTTAATTTAATTTGTTGAATTGGCACAATGTCACCGTTTTTGTATGTTCTACATTTACCATTTTCTCATTACTATTTCATACTATTTTTGCTTCTCAGCTCCTGTATTTCTTTGAGCTATGAAATAATTGGTCACATTAGATTTAGATAAACACGACTCTTATTAGTGAATATTTTATAATTTCTGAAGACATTGATGTACTATTATAAAAATGCAATACCAATCAATATTTTTCTACAAATTGTCATTACTTTTAACACGCAGGTGCATTACGAACCCGGTCCCGCCACGCTCACTCACTTCCCCTTAATTGCGGTGAAGAAGAAGAGTGTAACATTTTCATGCTCCGTGGACGACCCTGGATATCCTGAATCTAATAGGTCTGTAAAGTCGTACAAAAACACCGCATATACATCATCATATAATTCCATTGTTCCTAAAACCAATTTATCTGAGAAATCAACCAAATCATATACATCACATCCCACCACAACCGCTGCATCCACACCCCAAACGGGTGATAATTTCCTTATTCATTTCCATACCGTACAAGCGTTGCAACCCTCTGAGGCTGAGGCAGCTTATGAGGCGTTGATACGACAAAATTCACCATTGCTTGAACAACACCAACAACAACATAGCAACCAAACGATACAAAAAGAAACCCATGCACTAATTGGCCTGAACAATCATACTCCTCTATGTACATTGCTTACACTCACCACATTCTCACCAAAATCACAAATTCTAACACTGTACAATGTGGCGAAAACCAACATGGCTGACACCTCATCACAATCATCATTCGATTCATCATCAACATCACTTGACTTCAATCCATCATTACAACAACACCACCAACTCTCATTATACCGAAAAATGGGCGCATTTACTCATGGTGCCCAAATGTTAATGCATCCACATAGATTCCGTTGGTTGCGCGGTGGACGTGGTCCGCTACAGGACATTGTCACCAAGGACTGGACTGTTGAGCCGGTGGGTTTGGATAGCCGCACAAATTACTCATGCTATGCATTCAATGAAGGTGGTAAAGGTGTAATGGCAACTATCAATCTGGAGGTGCATGCACCTCCATTCTTCATCAAGAATTTGGTGCCATATACGGGCATGTTGCATACATCGCGCACAGCTAATCTTACATGCCGCATCGAGTGTGTGCCGCGCTGTGAAATTACCTGGTTAAAGGGCACGGAGCCCATTGATAAGAACGACACGCGCTACTTCATCAAAGAGAAGTATTTGGATGCCTCTCCGGCGACAGGCGATTTCGAGAGTATGCTTTCTGTACTGGTAAGTAAACGAGACACCAATATGAAATTGACTAACCCTTAATTAGACGCATAAAGAAAATCACACAATTAGTCGCATGGGGTCCCCAGTGAAATGTCGAAAAAAGAGTTTGGAAAATAAAAAAACGAAGTGTGTGTTATCAAAAATATTAAAGTATGCTATTATCGTTAACTTAAAACAAAAACATAATTTCGACTTCACTTACAAAAAAAAAAAAACTTACCTCCGCCAAAAAATGTTACGTTAGCGGTCACATGGGGGGTCAGCGCTCAAGCGAGTAGCGACACATGTCGCACACCGTCTCTAACAGAGTCACAACTCAAACTTTGGCATTTTTGAAATTATGCGCTAAAAATGTACACAGAGCTTTATTTACCTTTCAGCAAAAGCCGGAGGAAATTTTTGCAACAAAGAGTTTAATAAAACTTTAATTTGAAAATATTTTTTGTTAGGATGGCCATTAAAGTGGTCCAAAAATGTATGTAAAAAAAATAATATCGGATTTTTAATGCCGGCACCCCCTAGGATTGTTCTATATCGAAAAAATATACCCCTATTTTTTATTTTGAAAACAAAAAATAAAAATAGGGAGTGCTCAAAGCGCTCAAAGTTTTCCATGTATTTTATATGGGGGAAAAACAACTTTTCGTAGAAATAGTGTAGAATTCTTGAAAATCAACAGTTTTCGATCGGAAAACTTTTCTTATCTTCAGGAGATTCCCAGTAATAATACGCAATTGTCTCTTTAACCATTTTTTCATAGTAACTATATTTTATAGGTCCTCCAAAACCCATAGAAAATGAAATGGAAAAATCTTTAATCATAAAAAATGGTTAAATAAACAATTGGATATTTTTCCGATTGAAAAATGTTGATTTGTAAGAGTTTTATACCATTTCTACGAAAAATGGTTTTTTCTCCATATAAAATACATGGAAAACTTTGAGCGCTTTGAGCACACCCTAAATATTTTTTGATTTCAAAATAAAAAAATAGGGGTATATTTTTTTCGATATAGAACAATCCTAGGGGGTGCCGGCATTAAAATCCCAACTTAATTTTTTTGGACCACTCTAATGGCCATCTATTCGATTTTTATTTTGACCGCCAAGTTCGGTAATTGTGTTATCAGCCGTCTCGGTGAAGTCAATTGGCCCCCTCGGAGCTGCGAGTTCACGTCATTCGACTTTTTTGTGCCATGCCGTTAAGGACCGATATTATGCGAACAATATATTAACGCTTCAGGCCCTTAAGGTGTATGTCGGGCATTTTTTGAGATAGAGCCAGAAATCGTCACCAAGGTATTGGAAAACTGGCTTAAGAGGTTGCGCTACGGCGAAGACAGCCACATGATGACATCGTGTTCCATAATTAATGGGAATATTTGTTCTTTCGAATAAACTCATAATATACCGAAAAATTGGTTTGAGGTATTTCATTTTAATAAATCATTTTATTGTAATGGTCATCAGATCTATTATATGAAGGCCATCAGATCAGCTCCGTCATTCTAAATGTGCACGAAGGTTTTATTTTTTGAAGTTACGTCTTATTTTAGCGACGCCATGTGAGACGTCTCTTCGTTCAGAAAGGGCTGGACGAATTTACTTGAAACATTTGCAATATTTATTGAGACTTTTGAATAGTGTTGCCATCTGTTTAAAAAGTCTAACTAAATTTTTGGCGTCTTAACGCCATGCGGGTTCACTAGTGAACATTTATTTAAATATGTTTATTGAGCTTTGTACCATTATTATGTTTTTTAGGAAAAATTGTAATAAGGAAATGAATTAGCAACAAGAGTTTACGGGATGTGCACATCTCAGTGGTTAGGGCTTCTGACTTTGCACATCGATGACGCGGATTCGATCCCTGCTAAAGTCTGCAAAAAGAAATCTGATGAGAAGATGTGGTGATTTCTGAAATAGCAGCTATAATTTCTACCGCTCAGACTTTTTTGGTTTTTCCATTTTTCCTAAGAAACATAATCGTGGTACATAGCTCAACAACAATATTGAAAAAAATGTTAATAAGCCACAATAATATAGACAAAAAATATATATTTTCTAACTATATTTATTTATTTTTAATATTTTTAATTTTTTTATATATTAATTTTCTTTTCTTTTATTTGTATTGTTTTTAAAAGAAAAATGGCATCCGGAACAGAGCTATGTATATTGAGGTGCCCATCAAACATATTTTTGTTTTGAAAATTTCAAGATCCTATCCCCTAATTTTATTCGTTTTTATGAGAAATATTATTGTCTATTTTTATAGATTTTTTAAAGGTCATTTAAGGGTCATGACCTGTCGATTTAGGTCAGAAAATACGACGAGCCTAAGCACATTATGTATACCAAATTTTGTCGAGATCGGTGAAGTAGTATTTGAGGTACACATATGTGATATAAGTAGGCGGTGCCACCCCTATTTTCCTAAAATTTATTGAAAACCCACTTTTTTGCTAAAGAGCGATTGTATATATCAATTTGGAATAAATATTGATGAATTTCTTAGCCACACTGCTCAAAAAATCTGAAAGTCCGTTACTTACACAGTATAAATTCTAGGCCGTATTTAAGAAAAGTCGCCTAACTTCGAAAATTTGTATGCGATTACAATAAATGAGCCATAAGTTTTTTGAAAATAAATTTAATTTTAGACAATGCTACACATTTTGAAACTGTGGAAATTATCGATGGTCAAAATATAAAAAAATATTAATGGAAATATGGTGTTTTTTACCCGCTAAAAAATCCCGACAAGGCCTATATATCCTCACATTATATTCGATCTTTGATATCGAATCAAAATTAATCATTCAAAAATTCATAAATCTACAAAATCGTACTTTCTCACCTAAATCGACAGGTCACGACCTCTAAATGACCTTTAAACAAGTAAGAAAGTCTAAGTTCGGGCGGAGCCGAACATTAAATACCCGGCGCAAGTATTAATCCTCCGTTAGGCGCATGGACTACATATGTAATCCACACATCTTTTAGCAGGGACCAATTAAAACTTGGGTGGAGGATGACATTGCCCGCTTGAATAGCTATCGATGATATACAAAAGTGCTCACTTAGTATAAAATTGAGGGGCTAGGCCCACATTTACCACTTTTAGCCACAGTTGTATACGAGTGGACTACAATTGTAATCCACGCGCCTAATTACGTAACATTTTTTGCCAAGTGCACATTTTGGAAGTTTGTCTGTTTGAACACTGAGATAAGTTTTATAATTCCAAAAAACAAATCTTAATTCCATAAAAAAATTTTGACTTTGTTCATTATAAATTAGCATTGAATTTTATAACTTTTTTGTAGTGCAAATTCCAACGATTTCGGGTCTATACATTTCAGTGTTTCCATAAATTAACATTAACTTTTTGTTTTGTATTTGGCTATTTTCGCATATCTAAGAATTTAACTTTGTTTGTAAGCAATGTTAATGCTATTCAGTATGTACAACAAATATTTCACTATAGATATGTCATATGTTGTTTTACATGGAAATTGAAATTTCTGATGCAAAAAAGATACATTTGGAAAGAGAAGAAAGCTCTATGGATGAAGAAGATGAAGATAAGCTTAGTTTTTTATAATTTGGAAATTATTGCTTGGGAGCTAGTAAAACCGCAAACTGAACACCGATTACTAATATGTCAAGAGAAGTTGATCGTCTAGGACGGCATCTACTTTGTATAGAAAAGATTTATAGCCTCCACCAGCCGACATGCCAGAAAATTGCTTTCGGCGAAGTCCACAAGAAATATTTGCCAAACACGTAGTAAATATTCAAAAATGATAGAATACATTTTCTCTCAATCGTGGTAAATAAATATGCATGTAAGAATCATATGAGAGATGAGAGCATCGCTTATTTGGCAGAGAAAAACATGCTCCATATTTGACTTGTATTTCCTCGTTTATATGCTTTTATATTTCTTCACTGTTCAGTTTGTATTAATTCTATTATTTAAAATAAAAATGTGAAATTAGTTTAGCGTTTTTTATTGCATACTTTGAATTTGCAATAATTCTTAAGAACCTTCTATTAAACGGCTCAAAACAACACGCATTGCCTGTTTTAATATTTCTCTCATAAAAGTTAGATAAAACCAAAGTCAAAATATGTTTGAGACATATTAAATAATATAAATAAACATTTATTGGAAACAAATATAAAATTTTTTTTTAAATAAAATATTATAGCAGCCAAAGAAGTTGGACTACTATTGTAATCCACGCGACCAACCGCGTGAGTAGAACCCATGCGCCTAATGGAGGGTTAAATATATGATTTTCACCTTTCCGAAACCTACCGCTAGATGGTAAGCCGGGGTGTATCAATTTTGAGTAAATTAGCGTCCTTAAATTTCGAAATATTGCAGTTTCAAGCATTTTTGAAATTTACCGTTATAAGAAAAGCGGCCGTAATTTTAGTCCGATTTCAATAATTTTTAAACTTTTGCTTTTATGTGGCAAGCACAATAACCATACCGAGTTTGGTACAAATTGCTACAAATTTTCAGCCATTTGTATGCTGTACCAGGACCAACAACTGTGCCAAGTTTGGAAGAAATCGGTGGAGAGGTTACCAAGATATACACATCTAACCATAAGTGGGCGTGGCTGCGCCCATTTTTCAAAAATTTATAACATTCTTATTTTTCGTCTAAAAATTATTGTAAATATCAATTTTGAGTGAATAATCTTCAGTAGTTACTAAAATATCGCGGTTTTCGTATTTCTGAAAATTACCGTTATATGGGAGGTAGGCGTGGTTATTGTCCGATTTCGCCCATTTTCAATACCATCCGCCCTACGCCCAAAAGAAGTTCACGTACTAAGTTTCGTTAAGATATCTCAATTTTTACTCGAGTTATCGTGTGCACAGACGGACGGACGGACGGACAGACAGTCACCGCTTAATCGATTTCTCTTTTCATTCTGAATATTTATGTATAAATTTTTCTATATCTATCTCGATTCGTTTTGCCTGTTACAAACAACCGTTATGTGAACAAAGTTATAATACCCTTGTGCACAAGTGCGCACAAAACGAATAAAATCAGGGGCGTAGGGTCTTGACATTTGAAAAAAAAAACATTTTCGATAGTCACCCTAATGTACATATATGTGTTTCATATAACTATATGAATAGATTCCTTAAGGAAGACGCGAATATGCGTCGAAACGCGTAGGAGGAAAATAAACGCTTATTTTGTTTATAATAAAAGACCGAAAAGCTCTATACAGAATCTGAAATGTGCTACTTTTCGAGGCGGAATGCCTAATATACGCCTAATATACATATATTTTCTAAGTTTAATTAAATTGTATGAAAATACAGGATACGCGAAGTTCAAAATCGGGGGAAGAGCCGATTTCGAAAACGGTCACTTTTTCTATTTTCGATCGAAATTTTCGTATTTGATTTGAGGTTCTATATGAATGATTATATACCTATATACAAGTAAATTGTATACATACTAGAGGGCTGCATGAATGCATTCAAAACGGCTTTTGAATTATTCATATACAAAACGAATGAATGATTTTGGCTTCAAATTTTTTTGAATTTGAGTGAATAGCTGTTCTGATATTTGTGTCGACATTACAATATTCAAAAAAAGTGAATATCCAAAAATATTTTTTCTATGCACATATGTACAAACATACATATGTATGTATGTATGTATGTATTGCTGCGCTCCTATTGCATACGGAAAAACTTGTTTGTAGAAAAAAACTTTTACCGAAATGAGTTTGAATGATTTGAATGTTTTCTATTCATTCATTCACATTCTTCCATTTGAAGGTAGACAATTTTAAACAAAAGGTATATTCATAACTTACAAAATTCCAAACGCTGAGTGTTTCTTATGTGAAGTAAAATATTCAAATCTACTGTACTCTGTTTGGCTAGAAGTTTGAATGAATTCATGCAGCCCTCTAATACATACATATACATACGTACATATATACATATATTTACATATATACAAGTAAATTGTATACATACATATACATACATGTATGTGCAAGTAGGGGAGTTTCCCCCCGGGACAAATCTTTCCTTAAATTTAGTTGGAAGATAAAAATTATAAAATTTTCTAATCTAATCTATCTAATTTTGACATACATAGCTATTATGAATTCCAATAAATGTGAAAGAGCATACCTAAGTACACATGCAAATATGGTAAGGCCATTTCCGTACTAGTCAAAACAACCGCCAATCTGGCCGAATGTGAAACAAAGAATGGTTCCGAGGTCAACAGATGTTTGCTAGGCTTCAGATACGTCCCAGCGTGAGCGTTAAAGAATCTATGTGATGTCTAAATGTTGTGGTCGTAATGATTTGCCCATGATTCGCGAAACTTATCTAACTCGAAATTGGTGAGCGAAGGTTATTTACAAATCAATAGAAGACGAGTTTCGTGCATACAACCCATCTCAGCTTAAAGGAACTAAAACGTTAAAAACTATTTTACGCATTCACTGGATCTGTACAACAGTATAGCAAAAAAGATTTTCCCTTTAGACGAAGTTTTTCTATAAAAAAATTACAACACATACCTACTACGAGAATTTAGGTAAGAATATCGGTATTTTTCAAAAGCTCTGAAGAAGTATATAGAGATAACATTCAGGTTTTCTTTCTACGGCCCTGTATATGTGTATGTAAAATATTATATATCTGTGTGAGTAGAAACACACAAAAATGTCCGATAATAAATAGAAGTTTATATTATTAAATGAAAAAACTAACTTATAAAAGTATACCTAAATATTCAGGCTTGTTCTGTAAATCGTACGATTTCAAATCGGTGCGATTTAAAAAAAATCTTTTTCGGACAACAAACAAAGAAGGAAAAATTTGCCACTATACAGTATCGGTCATATCTATAGCACGCCATTTCAAAGTGATATTGTGTGCCACTTATGTTTATTTATTTATTTTTAAGAATTTTCAATTAAAATACAGTTCTTTCTCTAACAAACCCCATATAAACCCAAGTTTAACGATTTGTAGAAAACTTCAAAAAAGTTCAACAAATTTTCACCTAAGTTTCAAACTTTTTTCTCGGCAGTGTTAGAATTTTTTCGAGTGCAGAGTTTTTTAGCCACTGCAATTTTAGTCTGATAACGAATTACCGTTGATTTTTTAGAATTTTTTTTGTCGCATTGGCTTCCATATAATGAATAAACTCAATTTATTTGTATATGGATGAAAACTGCAACACCTTTGGCGAAAAAAAAATCAAAGGTAACTTTCAGTCACTTGAAACTTGCACATTATCAGACTAAAATTGATTGGGCTAAAAAACTGTGTACTCGAAAAAATTCTAACTCTTCCGGGAAAAAGGTTTGAAACTTAGGTGAAAATTTGTTGCACTTTTTTGAAGTTTTCTACAAATTGTTAAACTTTGGTTTATATGGGGTTTGTTAGAGAAAGAACTGTATTTTAATTGAAAATTGTCAAAAATAAACAGATAAACATAAGTTGCACACAATATCACTTCGAAATGGCGTGCTATAGATATGACCGATACTGTATGTAGATATAACGTAAATGATATACTTCCGAGTATCACTTTCCATTTCAAATATTTAACAATTTGATTACAAATATACAACAATACTTTGCAAATCGCACCGATTTGAAATCGTACAATTTGCAGAACATGCCTGATTAACGGCTTTTCTCAATGTTCGTGTTTTTGCTTGCAATAAAGAAGCATAATGACAAATAAGAAAATAAAATTTTTTATTAATTTTTTCTTTGTAAAAAATATTACACAAATATTTTCTATTGAGCACTGCATGACTTTGAAACTAGATAAATATTAGCCATTATAAGTGGACCAAAAGTTAGCTATTGTAGTAGACGACTACGGAATTTCTTGCAGGGTATACATGTACAAGTATATACATTTGTGAAAAATTATTCATATATAGTCTTATTTATACTATAAATGCGCAAATTTCGGATGGAAATCAAACAAGTGACAGTTTTTGAAATCGGCACTCACTACGATTAAAACTGACAAAAATTCTGACTTGGTAACGTCCCCCTCCCCTAAATTAGTATAATTGGAAATCCTATCGTTCCAAACTGACTAAGTTGAATTTGGTCCAAGAACACCATGGTTTGTTTAGGTAACTAAAATTACAAAATAGAAAATGTCCCTTTAAAAGCTTTATATAAATGGTTTTTACGTAAAAAAGAAAAGAAAATATACGTTTATAAATAATTTCGCAAGAAACATTTCCGAGACACCCTTACGTGCATTGGCGAATTTAAATTTAATTTCTTCCTGTTATTAGCATTATTAATAAATTTCATTTTATCGTTTTTCATTTCACTTTTCGTAGCACTTTAATATGTCAAATTGGCCCAATCATAAGTTCGATATTGAAGCGGATAGCGCCAACTACACATGCGTTTCGACAGGAAATACCGTTGGACCTGGCATCAAGAGTTCTACATACTTCTCAATTGAATGTAAGTTACGATAATGATATGTGACAAGCTGTAAACTACTCCCAATCACTCACCCTTTAACATAGCGCTTTATAAATAGACAGCATAACAGTAAATGTAGCATATCCAAAAACATCTCAGAAATACATGTATTTACGGTTTTATCAACAACTAAAACTTCTTTTTTATTTCCTCCTCGATTTCTTGACGAAAAGATGCGCCGGAGAACTCAACCGTTTCCGATGACAGGGTTTATGTGCAGGAAGGGACGATACCCGGACGTGTCATTTGCAATGCCAGAGCTAACCCCAGTAAGTATCGATAGCAGATTATAAATATTTTCCATACATTAGATATGCAAATAAAATACACGCGCACACATGAATGTACATACATACCCTGCAGGGAAACCGCGGACTAGTGAATCAAATTTCTAGTTCCGTACTAGGTCTTTATCGCCAAAAACGAACTAGTCCGATATGAACTAAATCCCCACCAGTCCAAAATCGGAGAAAAGTGGTACTTTTAAAACACTAATTTATTTCAGTTTTTTAACTAGAAATCGATATCTAAAGTGACGAATTTAGAAATGGTTCGGAACTATAGAAAAAGGGACGCAGAACGAACTAGATCTTATTTGTCGAATTTAGAACTAATTCGGAACTATCGAATAAGGGATGCAGCGGGGGGCTTGTTTACTTTACATAGATATGTGTTCGGCGGCTTTTTCGCTCAAATACGCTTCTATTCTGCGCTTCGCAGATGCTTTTTCATAGCTTGGTAATACAAAACTAAAATTTGTGTTAACATTTCAACATCTTGGGACCGTCTGGAATCTAAGAAATAACAGAGAGAACCTCTGCAAACTCAGCTACAGCTAAAGGTATGTAAACGTACATTTCTTACAATCATTCAAACAAATTTAATTTCAAATTGAAAACACATTTCTTCCAAAATAACCTAAAATTGCACACACGGAAGAACCAAAAAGATTGAAAAATCATGATACTTTTTTATTTCGTCTGTCGATTTCAGAACTGGTTCGGAACTATAGAATTTAGGACTAGTTCGGAACTATCGAAAAAGGGATGCAGCGGGGGGCAATTGACACTTCCTAGGACATCGCCATGTTAAATTCGCCAGTTGCTTGCATGCAAAAGAGATTTATCGCGAACCAGTACTGGGTCTAAATGTACTAGAAGCGCCCCAGTTCAGAACTAGGGATTTCCCCACAGGGTATGTTTTCTTCAATACCCCATTACATTTGCATACATATTTATGTATGTAAGTATGAATGTAATGCATCTTGCACGGCTGTTATTGTATTGACAATCGTTGTAAATGCGAAGTTGAAAATGGCAGCATTTTCTGTCAGCGTTGACATAAATGACAAGAGTGACATGACAGTATGCATCAGCCTCGGTCTTAGTTGCCAACCACCACGTCTTTAGCCAATGGATTGCGAATCGCTACAGTCGAGCGTGTTGAGTGACATTCAGTCTCAAGTGGCCCAACAACGCCGTTATGTTATGTACTGGTATCAGCAGCGCGTTGGCGCAAAAACAAAATACCGAGGTTGAGACATGTTAAAATTGACATTTTTGAAGGGCCCCCATGTGCGTTGTTGGCAGTCTTAAGCACGTACATATCAACCAATTTTTGCAAACATATGTATCAGCATGTGATTGCTCAGATTATATGGGCCGAGATATGTATGTACATAAGTAGTGTATCGGGGTGTATGAGTTACATAAATATATTTATTACATAGTATACTTTTAAGGATATCGGATTGCAAAATAACTCAACTTTCCAGTATTAAAATCCATTAATTTTAATCTAACTAAGTAAGTTGATATACATAAGTACATATTTGTAATTTTAACATCAAACCATTTCCGGTATTTCCTTACTTGGAATTTAAGGACTCGCTCACGTGATTCAAAAAGACTATGGACCTAAGTATTAGACTTAAACTCTCTATTGTCCAGATTATTAGATTTATAGATGCGAATATTGGAAAATTTATCTTCTTCTTCTTATTTGGCACCACAACCGTTCGTCTATGTTTATGGGCCATATTATATAACGGCCATGACGAGAGACTTGTAGAGCATAATTTTTGTTCGCCAAGTGAGAGCTCTGCTTTTCAATTGCCTGGGAAGAGTTATTCTCCGCTTTATCTCCATGCTGACGTTGTTGGTGGTGTTTATGCTTGGATCCTAGGTAAACAAAGTTACGAGCAAAGTCAAAAGCCGACAGCGATGTGTGTCCCGAAACGCGTGGAGTCCTTATATGTTGCTAGGTGGTACTTTGTCTCGTCTTCATTAACCGATTGACCAACCTCTTTAGCTTATTTTTCTAAATTGAAAAATACTGCAGTTACGTCCCTTTCTTTCACACCGACGATATCGATATCATCTGCATACGCCAGTAACTTCGTTATTTGTATATACATCAGAGATGGGCAGAGAGAGCTTTTACTCTGCACGCCACTATACAAAATAGATAGAAAGCTTAAAAGAGCTTTGCCCGCGGGCAAGGCAGTGCCCATAACTGATATACATATATAGTGCCGCTGCGATTTAGACAGGCAGCTCTTATTATGCTTTCCAGCATCAGATTGAAAAACACGCACGAGAGTGAATCGCCGTGCCTAAAACATTGTTTGGTCTCAAACGGTGCTGTGATTTTTCTCAACTAACATAAAAGTTCATAAGAAACGTATGGAATTGACTAGAAAAATGTTGAATTCTCGAGGAAAATTTAACGGCCCAGAGTATACCTTTTTTATTTATGTGTATGTACATTAGACTGCATCACCCTCCATAAAAAAAAGATCCGTACTGTTTTTCCATTGGAATTATAAAACCTATTATAGTTTAAGACGACCACCAAAATATTTCGGAAAAGTATTAAGATTAAAGCGAGCTGGACCGATTTGAAAATACTTCCAAAAATTAAGTTTTTTATGAATAAAAATAGTTTCTTAAAGATGCTTTTTGAAAAAAAATCCTCAAATGACAAAACGGTTTAAACTTAAAATATTTACATGAAAATAAAAATATAAATAAAAATAATTTGAACGGAATCGTAATAATAAGATTTTTGATTTTTTTTTAATTTTTTCAAAGATTGGTATAAGAAAACCGTGAATAACTGAACCTAAACTCTTCCGATTTAGACTTGTAAGGTATCATTGGAAAGGCATTTTCTCAGCCTTTCTATTCGAAGGATGAAAGAGAAAGGTAGGATGAACGAACATTATTCAAAGTTGAATAAATGTGTGTTGGTATTTGAAAAAAAAATATTGGGACATTATATTCTTGTGTGTGAGTGTAAAAATAGGAAAAAAACAAAACTCATATTATAGTCCCCTTTTTATCATACACATGTATTTATGTAACATACCCAAAAATAATTTAACCGTACAATTCAATTTACTTTTTTATTTTCAGGCGCTCACTACAACTGGATATTCAACAGCACAAAACTCGGCCAGGATCAAGCTTTAATCATCAACACACCAATGACTCGCAATGATTCTGGAATTTACACTTGTGTCGCCTCGAATAAGCACGGCAATAGCACAGCGGAAACATTCATCGATGTACAATGTAAGTTGACATACTTACCCATTTAGACAATTTAATTTTTTGGCTTTCGAATTGGATTTATTTCAACATAACCTCGAATAGAATGGAAAAGGGACGGTGGCATCGAATATGAAACTGTCACATGTCATTTTTAAGCTACCCTCTTTGAAATCTCTAAAAAAAATCTACTCGGAATGTTTGACATTACAGTGTGCTGTGACTGCAATTGCCAACTTAGCTGGATTTGTACACTTTAGAATTGACGCACTCACAAGCACATATGCATGTACGTATTTGTGCCATCCAATATATGAAAGTGGCAAAATTTATATGAAATACGAAAATGTCCTTTGATTTGCTTTGTTTGTTGGCTTGTCAAGTGGAAACCCCTAGACCGTCGCAATGGCGACAAGTGTTTGAAATCGTCCGAGCAATTCTACGAATTTTATGATTATATCCATTTTGATACTTTCCTTTTCAATATAATACTATATGTAACGATTTGGTTTGAACCTTTTTCGACAATTGTTGCAAAGTCACAGCCACAAAATTGTTATTTCCATTGTGTGGCTGCCCTCCCAGCCTTGCAGTTAAAGGGAATACTTCTGCATTTTGATTGCCTCACGCTATTTCTAATATTTCTATTATTCGGTTTGATTTTAGTTGTTTCGTGTTATTTTGTAAAATTACTCGAGCAACGAATTATGCGATAAACGTTTCAAAAACATAAAGTCCTGCGGTTAAACCAAACATACACACATATGTACGTGTATTTATTAAGCGAGAAATAAAAATAAAGTTTGCTAGTTATTCCAGATCATCGTCGAGCGACGACGTTGGGAAGAGGCATTTTGCAGCTGGTCACGCTTTGATAAGCCTATTTAATATTATTATTGAAAGGTTGTAACGCTATTCAAGTATAGCTAATACTTTTTATGCTGAGTTTGGTCGTTTTGTTCAAACTAATCGACACCATTCAATTGAAATTGACCGGAAGAGTCGTCAAATTATGCTGACTTGGACTTTTTAACCCTTATAAGTAGGCTATAAAAAAAATTATTATATTTGTGAGTACCTTCATTTAAGTTTTCACACAATTCCAATTATGTGGAAAAAAAACGTAACCAACAGCGTTAATTCGGTTACGAAGAAAGATATTTTTTTGTTAAGCACAAATTTTATGGGACCACCTTTCCATATACATACATATGTAAGTGTTTAAAAAAAAAAAAGGAAAAACAACAAATTCTAAGCGGTAGAAGTTATACATAGCTGCTATATTCAATTTTTCATAACAAATAAAATTGTGGTACAAAGCTCAATAACACTATTGAAAGAAATATTAATGCACCACAATAAAATTGACGACCTCTGTTTTAATTGAAAATTCTTAAAAATAAATAAACAAATATTCGTGGAAATTTATCAATTTGAAATGGCGTGATATTGATATGACCCATACTTAACGCTAGTATCTATACTTTTTTTTGGCAGTACAATACTTTGTTTTGGATTCAAGACATTGATACTGCGATTGTTTCCTAAATACTGCATTTATTCTTTTTTCTGCCCAAATTTTTTTAATACACAGTGTTCGTGGAAATACGCTATAAAAATGCATATACATACATATATACTCTTATGTAAAAAATACGGACACGACATCTTGACCTATTTTGACTATTTTCCTTTTGTTTTTTTTAATGTTTATCAATTTTTTATTAAACACTTGTTAATTATATAATATTTAACATCATATCAATCCACACAACAAACTTTGTAGAAAAATTAAAATAATTTAACAAAAATTTATTTTTAAATTCCAGGTTTGCACTTTTGTAGCTTTAAACAAGTTTCATAGACTAACAATTCGCGTTAAGTTTAGCATATAAAGCATATAAAGCAAATTTTCGATCATAGTAACTTTATAAACTAGAATTTTGTTTTAGTGCAACTTTTTGAATTCCTCTAGCTATTATACAAAGTGAGAAATTTGGAATTACATGGCTTTTCTTAGACATAAACAGGAATTCCTTTATTTAATTGGAAAACAGTTAAAAACAAGTAAGAAAGTCTAAGTTCGGGCGGGGCCGAACATTAAATACCCGGCGCAAGTATTACATATATGGCTTTTCACCTTTCCGAAAGCTACCGCTACATGGTAAGCCGGGGTGTATCAATTTTGAATAAATTAGCGTCCTTAAATTTCGAAATATTGACGTTTCAAGCATTTTTAAAATTTACCGTTATATGAAAAGCCGTAATTTTAGTCCGATTTCAATAATTTTGAATGTTTTGCTTTTATGTGGCAAGCACAATAACCATACCGAGTTTGGTACAAATTGGTGGAACGGTTACCGAGATACATATATGTGATCATAAGTGGGCGGTGCCACGCCCATTTTCCGAAATGTTATGATAAGCGTATTTCCTGGTAAAGAATTGTTGCAAGCATCAATTTTTAATAAATTAGCTTTAATATTTACTGATTTATCGAAGATTTCGTATTTCTCCAAATTACCGTTATATGGGATGTAGGCGTGGTTATTGTCCGATTTTTTAAATTTTCAGCCATTTGGTATCCTGTACCAAGGTCAATAATTGTGCCAAGTTTGGAAGAAATCGGTGCAGCGGTTGCCAAGATATACACATGTAACCATAAGTGGGCGTGGCTACGCCCATTTTTCAAAAATTTATAATATTCTTATTTTTCGTCTAAAAGTTATTGCAAATATCAATTTTGAGTGAATAATCTTCAGTAGTTACTAAAATATCGCAGTTTTCGTATTTCTGAAAATTACCGTTATATGGGAGGTAGGCGTGGTTATTGTCCGATTTTGCCCATTTTCAATACCATCCGTCCTACGCCCGAAAGAAGTACACGTACCAAGTTTCGTTAAGATATCTTAATTTTTACTCGAGTTATCGTGTGCACAGACGGACAGACGGACGGACGGACGGACGGACGGACGGACAGACAGTCACCGCTTAATCGATTTCTCTTTTCATCCTGATCATTTATGTATACATTTGTCTATATCTATCTCGATTCGTTTTGCCTGTTACAAACAACCGTTATGTGAACAAAGTTATAATACCCTTGTGCACAAGTGCGCTCGGGTATAAAAACGGTACTGTAAAAAATGCTTTTGTTCTTAAATGGAGTTACTGCGAACTGTATTTTTTTGCAGTAATGTGCAGTTTTTTCCCAAAAAGATACGAGCGATACCCATACTCTATGAGAGTAAGAAATATAGGGAACATTCTTTGCCAAGCCGCCCCACCTCTCCATTTTTGATTTGATTTGAACAATTCGAATTCTTCTGGGAAAATTATCTTAAATGGCGATGAGCGTTTTTTTAAATTCAGGATTGCGGTTTAACTATGGCGTCTAAAGAAACTTTAAATTAGATTTCCCTTTACAACTTTTGTGACTCTGGAGAACTCAACACTAAAGAAGAAAACCTAAACGTGGCTGTTTATAGTTTTAGGGCTTCTGATTATTACGAGTCTGGGCCGAATTTTAAAAATTCAAAATGGCAGGCTCAATATTTGGAGCCAAAAAATTAGTTTGGATTAGATTCGCTTTAAGCTTTCTAATCGGGGTTTTTGATGTCGCTGATCACTTTTATGAAATCAGTGTTTACAAATTCGAAATGCCGGATCCAATATTAGTTAAAATCCAACGTACGTAAACGGCGTACGAGTTACATTCTCATCTCGACTGATGACTTCTAGAGGGCTTTGATTTCCTCCCTGACCAGACAGAGTACTGCGCCTTCAAAATGATTCCCAGCAGCTCCATCTCTTCCTATATTCCGGCACGAGCGGACTAGATGGGGCGAGGTGATTGGAGGAAGGGAGCAGTGAACTTCTTTACGAATGAATCAATATTTGTAGGCAGAGCTTGTAGAGGTGTTTTTGCTGGGCGCTCTCCATCTGCACTTCTGCAGTGTCGTCTAAGTGGTAAAGAATCGTTACATTGAGTTCAATGGATCGAAAACTCAATAGATACACTGAGAAAAAATCAACCAAAAATTTGTAAGTATATTCAAATTTGAAAAGGAATCCAAGTGATTTTTTTTAAGTCTGAAGTAGCCATTTTTGAGATCAACAATTGTCTCAAAAGAGTCCAAAATGTTCCTCATTTGACTCAATTGATGTATGAGTTTAAGCTCATATAGGTTGTCCTTTGGATGAAGGCCAATACCCCAATTTCGGACTCTTAAATTAGCTCTTTACGGGTAGGTGGTAGACACATATTTGCTTTTCGTGCGGAAACTTCAAAGGATTTTAGCATGTACGAATTATACAATATGAAGCATGGTATGAGGGGTTATGCTACATCATTACCTTAAATATGCAATTTTTTTGTATTGTGACAGATAACGAGTGATATGTAGATGTACTTTACTTTAATAGTGTCATCACTCAAACAAGTAAAACCCGAGAAAAACGGCTTTAAAGTTTTGAATTTACTTCCATAGTAAAACATATTTTGTTCTAGTGAGATACTGGTAATCGACACAGCTATGAAATTTTTACACAACTTAGAAGAAGAGGTAGCGGTAATTTCTGTATACTCAACTAAAAATGTGCATTTTTATACCCGAGCGCACTTGTGCACAAGGGTATATTAATTTTGTTCACATAACGGTTGTTTGCAACAGCCAAAACGAATCGAGATAGATATAGACAAATGTATACATATATGCTCAGAATGAATAGAGAAATCGATTAAGCCATGTCTGTCTGTCCGTCCGTCTGTCTGTGCAAAAATTGAGATATCTCAACGAAATTTGGTATGCCGGTTTCTCTTAATCCAAGGTAGGTTGGTATTGAAAATGGGCGAAATCGGACAGTAACCACGCCCACTTCCCATATAACGGTAATTTCCAGAAATACGAAAACTGCGATATTTTAGTAACTACTGAAGATAATTCACTCAAAATTGATATTTGTAATAATTTTCAGACGAAAAATAAGATTATTATAAATTTTTGGAAATGGGCGTAGCCACGCCCACTTATGGTTACATGTGTATATCTTGGTAGCCGCTGCACCAATTTCTTCCAAACTTGGCACAGTTATTGGCCTTGATACAGCATACTAAATGACCGAAAATTTAAAAAATCGGACAATAACCACGCCCACTTCCCATATAACGGTAATTTAGAGAAATACAAAATCTTCGACAAGTCAGTAAATATTAAAGCTAATTTATTCAAAATTGATGCTTGCGACAATCCTTTACCAAGAAATACGTTTATGATAAAATTTTGGAAAACGGGCGTGGCACCGCCAACTTATGATCACATATATGTATCTCGGTAACCGTTCTACCAATTTGTACCAAACTCGGTACGGTTATTGTGCTTGCCACATAAAAGCAAAACGTTGAAAATTATTGAAATCGGGCTAAAATTACGGCTTTTAATATAACGGTAAATTTTAGAAATGCTTGAAACTTCAATATTTCGAAATTTAAGGACGCTAATTTACTCAAAATTGATACACCCCGGCTTACTATGTAGCGGTAGGCTTCGGAAAGGTGAAAAAACATTTATTTAATACTTGCGCCGGGTATTTAATGTTCGGCTCCGCCCAAACTTAGATTTTCTTACTTGTTTAGATTAGATATGACACTATTGAAGTAAATGAGCGATATGTATGTAAATAAAATTTTTTTTAGTTTGCCATCTCCAATATTACAAAACTATTCGTGAGGCTCTCCGTTGCATTAGCTAATTGCGTTATAAAAGTATTTTGAAAAATCCAACTTATAAACCACCAACTTGTTTCTTTCTTTTTTTCATTTCGATGGACATGTATGTGTGCGTATCGGACTCTGCGCTGGCTTTCAAAACGCTGATGCTACCGTTGCCATTGATGTTGCTGTTGATGTTCCTGTTCCTGATTTTTCTTTTATTTTTGGCATTGCTGATTGCATGTCTGCATGCAGTTAAGCCACGTTGCGAAATTGAAAGGCACGAGATCGATGACCAGGATACACTAATTTGCACAGCATTCGGAAATCCTGTAGAGGTAAGCGCACAAGCATACAAAAACATACTCCCACACACACATATTACCGCAAAACATTCACATTTACACACATATACAAACGCATAACCACACATTGGGGTATTGTGAAATACACAAATCCAAGGACTAGCTCCCTTCGAAGTTCCGCAATGCCGTCAATGGCCGCAGCAGAATATTCTGACAACCCAGTTTTTCGTAACATTTAACATACACACACACAGAGCACAGAGTCCTGCCATACACCAAACAAGCGTACGCACGCCGTAAAGTATGCAATGCATGTGTTATTTTTCGTTAACGCTGCTGATTACTACAAGCGAGCGGCATCAAACTGCGAATAGTTTGAGTTCGATACACAGAAATCGGATATGTGCAAGTGAGAGTGCACTGATGCATGGAAAGTGGCAGTGAGGGACGAGCTTTACACCAGTTGTTTTGTTGTGCCCACATATTCATACATATTTGTATGTACATTTGTTTGTGAGTCTGTATGGAGGATTTCGTGTGGCTCAATGGTTGAATGGTTGTACGCCTGAATGACGGCTACTACCGGCCCCACTGGTTGCGCTGGTGCATGCTTCAGCCAACACGAGTCTTGCAACTGTTGCATGAGCTGGTATTCAAGCTGTTGTTGTTTCGGTTTATTGCTGTTGTTATTGCAATGGCAATAAAACGATAGCATTTCAATTGCAGGCACCAACGCACTAACACGCCACTGCAATTTCAGGAGCACTTGAAATATACATACAAATGTATGTACATATATGCAAACATGTTTGCAGCAATGAGTAGAATTCTTGCTCACTCTTGACACTCTTTAGACACATACACGTTTGAAAATACTCGAAAAATATAAAGGTGACGGCCACGCCGTTCAATAGTCAATTTCTCATTTCGACAAGCATGCTCTGGTATTCTCTTTCCAGGCTGAACGTAAGTACTTACATACAAATATTTATTTTACTTGCACACCTTTTCTTATTTACATATTTATGAAGCATTTATAAATTTACGATTCCTTGCATCTATGGTCCAGTACACATATTTACATATGGGTGTTGCCATGCAGCCGTACGCGACATTCGTACGCTTATGGAGTAACATAAATCTCTCAAAAATAGAAGTTACTGAAAAACAAGATTACGGTTATATTGCAACCCAAGGGTACTAGGTTTAAGAAAAATATAAGCAGCCTCGAAACTGTGGTGTGGAAAATATCTGTTCAAAACAAGGTGATAACGTACGCGACAAAAAAAAAGAAGTGTTTTTTAGGCGCATATGAATATATGCGAAAGTCTGCGAATCATTCGAGTTTTTCTTTTCTTTAAAAATTCATAAACTAAGCTAAATAATGCACTTTTACAATCCTTCCATTTTTAGTAGAAATTATCTCGGCTTAGATTTTATTACAAAAAAAAAATAACTTACGCGACAGATTTTTACCGCATACATTATTTTTACTAGTAACACATACTAAATTAAACTTTTAATTTAGTTTTTTCAGTTCTTCTCTCCGTCGTTTCGCGTTTTTAAACCCTTTTTCCGCCATCTGAATATAAAATTTCAAGCTATAAAGCCGTTTTAATTCACTTACTTGCATTTTCGGTTTACATTTTTATGGAAACACCCATATGTAAGTGCATATTTATGCAAGTACTTCACTTATAATTTACCTTAACCCTTTCCAATCAGCATTTTCTTTTTAAAAAGAAATCATCCCCTTCCAGAACTTTGTGGCCTCACTATTCAGGTCCGTAGTGCGTTGTTTGTTATGTCTGGAGATGTTGTTAACTGCGTCCACTGCGGCGTTGTAAGCGAAAAATATCAAAGAGAGCCGTCAAAAGAGGCCAATAGAATATTCGGGATCTTAACCATCATATTTGGTGTGTCATTGAGGTGATTTCATAAATGCAACTTGGTATTATTCATTCAAGTTGTAAGAATATTTTAGGGGAAATGGTATAGCTTTTCGCAGTAATAAATCGAGATACATAGATCAGAGAGATCGGCGTGGAATGACAAACTGAGGCGAAGACTCTTGACAGGTCCGTCACTAGCGGCGGTTACAATTTAGATTTAGTGCTTTGGTAATTGCAGACATCTAAAGGCAAAACAACTACGGTTGTCCAAAAATGCATGTCAAAAAGTAAAGTCGGAATCTTTCTATATCGAAAAAATATACCTCTTTTTTATTTCGAAATCAAAAGTGGTTTAGAGGTCGCTCAAAGCGCTCGAAGTTTTCCATGTATTTTATATACGAAAAATACCAGTTTTCGTACGAAACCTACGACTAGATGGCAAAGCCCACCGGATCCAGCGGGGGCGTTTTGGGGGTTAAACTACGTGTCAGTCCGTGGCGGACTCACGGGAGATGTTTTAATACATAGACGACATATTATAAATACATATACGCCATATCAAAACACCGCCCGTGGGTCCGCCACTGACTGACACGTCATTTAACCCCCAAACGCAGAACTCATTTGAAGAAAAGTCGGTGGTAGTCGGGTGAAGTTTAGTTGACTAATATTTTAGAATTTTTTCGTTCACCAGTGACCCGTTGACCAAACCAACTGCAGTGCGCAGTCAAGGACTTACCTGCTATTGGCACCAGACAAGACAAGATTTGCACTTGAGTGTGCTCGTCGTACGTTCTGACATGAAACACGGAACATACGGTGTGGAAGCTAAGGGCTGCTGGATAGCTCCGAGAAAAACCTACGGGTTCCAATACATAGAACTCTCTGTCATGGTTAATAATTCGATTCCTCAAGAATCTTTTCTGCAGGTGTTGGAAATTTCAATTCTCCTGCATAATAAAGCACTTACCGGCAAATGCGAGCATTAAAAAATTCTGTTTGAGTATCACTTAATCATCGTTGGCAATTTTATTTGTCAACAACGGTTTAAGTCAGTTCTCGTATGGCGTGACAAGGATTATAGCAATAAGATATCGCAGAACACTTTTATCGTAGCACACATGTCTACCTATTTATCTCCATTTATGAGTATACACATTCACGCCAATTGGAATTTAAATTTACTTCTCTGACTGCAAGAAATTGAGTGGATATTAAAATTTATCCGCACGCATACATTCGTACAAATTCATATACCCGTAATTGTATAAAAATATTAACACTTTTTGCAAGGCTTACTCTTAATCAAACAATCGAGTATTTATAACCAACCCACCGAAACAAGATGCACACAACACCGATAGTAATAAAAACCGTTTCGATAACAGTGACAAAAACGTTTAAATATAAATATTGCATTGCACACGTGCACACTCACTACTTATGTGCATGTTGTATGTACAAATGTGTGTAGACAAGTACACAACATAGTAGACTCGGAATTTAACCGTTTATTTGCTTATTTGTATTTATTATTATTTTTTTTATTTCAGGCGGATTTTTCATGGTCAATTAAAGCGGAAAATGACAGCGCCGAATGGCTGGGCAGTGGCGAACGGCAGGATTTCATCGACAAGAGTTTCTATGTGTTGGACGACGGTTATGCGATTGCACGCACTTATCGATGTGTCGCCAACAACACCGTCGGCCCGGGGACATTCTGTGAAATCGAAGTGGCTGGTAAGTGTCGGGTTAATAAATACGTCTACAAGATAATATAAGGTGAACACCACTCGCATACGCATTTCGATACGGCCAAAAGGGCATTTTGCTGCTGTCGGCAAATGGTCTTGTGATATGCAAATGGCCCCATAACGACTCCATCCAATGTGGGATTGCATTTAGGAAATTTAATCAGGCTTAACATTTTATGGTGAAATTTTCGTTTACTAAGGGTATATTTCCAATAAAATTATAACAATTATAAATATAAACATAAAAATCATACCTAGAACCAGAAAGGCAGACATTTTTTTTGTTAGCATAATACCATAAAGACATTATTATTTACTTCCACTCTAAGCACGAAGGCAGTTTAATATACGTATATAAAATGTAATAAAAAAACTTTATAATATACCATTCCTCTATAAATGCACTAAAAAGTAGAAAATAGTTTTTTCTAGTCCAACAGAATTTGTCTTGATAAATTTTAATTTAAAATTTTTTGCAAAAGTCATTATAAACTTTTTCTGAGATTAAAAAGAAGAACGTGGAACATTTGGGATAGACTAGATTTTATGTGAAAAATAAAATATGTATATTTGTATGTATCATATTCCTTGCCAGTATTTTCTACCGTTTTTTATGAAAATCATCGCCGATAATATCGCTATTTTTTAATTCTTATCTGATTTTGGGAATAATTATTCTATTAAGACGTCACGTCTTTAGGATACAAATGCTAAACTGCAATTAGAAACTATTTCGATAGGTATGAAAGTCAGAATTGTTACAGAAGATTTCTAAAGAAGAGGTAAATGTTTGAGCAAACATAATGGGAAATTTGGGATACCTTCGAGCTTACGATCACCATGCAAAATCTTTTAAGCCATTTTTCTCATTCAGTTTTCGGAAAAGAATTCTCGACCCATATCCTACGAAATTTTAACTCAACACTTAAAAAATCAGTTCCAAAAAGGTATAGTAAAAAGGCATTAACATAATACCTATGCATTGATTTGCTATGCAAAAGTGACAAATAATTTTCCGACAGAGGAGTAAGTAACTATTGGAATACGTTTTTTCGAAGAAAGGTTAATTCAATGTGGTTGTTCACACTTGCCAGGTTATCAGGTTATCTGATTAAAAATTATTATTATGCAGTGAATTTTATTGTTGTAAACTGAATAAACAATATAACCACATAACCAGATAACCTGATAACCAAGCAAGCGTGAATATACACAATATTTTTTTTAATGAAATATGAGCAAGAAATAATGTTACTCAAACGCCATGTCTGAGTATCCAAACCTTCGATCAAACTTAAAGTAAGAAGATAACAATTGATTACGCGAAAGTGATTAGTCGTAATTCTCACCGCAGTTATATAGAGACTTTTTCGCCTACAATGTAATATTTTTATCATTTTGATTAATGCATTTCATTTGACGCAATCAGAGCTCTTGCCGTTGAATTGGACGAAATTTTTAAGTTTTTCATTAATTTAACGACCCAGAAAGAATTTAACCCATTGTTGTTATCCCATTATCGGACAATGCTTTAAAATTTCAGAATGGTTGACCGACTTTTAGAAAAAAAATTCAAGAAAATCGATCAGTACGTGTTTTTGGAAATAAACATTTAAACTAAACAAGTCGTTTTTAAGTAAAAAAGAAAACCGACCTCACTTCCTATATAAAAATTTACGATTAGATACCGTTATTTTTTCATGATAAAATGATCTTATCTAAACCAAATTGATATGGGACCTCCTCTGAGGTGCCAGCTTTCCTTAAAAAAAAAAAAAATAATAATTATAGAAATCGGTTAACGTCGTCCAAAGTTATGCGGTAACATACATAAAAAAATATTTCGACGAATTGATAACCTCCTCCTTTTTGTGAAGTCGGTTTAAAAATGGAAAATTTTATAAAAAATTGAAAAAGAAAAATTAAAAAAAAGGTCCCAATCGGCTCAGTTTTCGCAAAGTTTTAGTTATGTAAAAAAT